TGGGTACACAGGATCTCTTATTTCTTACTGCATGTGAATCTACAATTACTTCAAATTTTTAACAATTAATTAAAAAAAACCCACAACAGTACGGGGCACCTGGGTGGCTCAGTTGTTAAGCATCTGCCTTCGGCTCAGGTCATGATCTCAGGGTCCTGGGATCAAGCCCTGCATCAGGCTCCCTGCTCCATGGGAAGCCTGCTTCTCCGTTTCCCACTCCCCCTGTTTGTGTTCCCTCTCTCGCTGTGTCTCTCTCTGTCAAATAAATAAATAAAATCTTAAAAAAAATAAAATAAAATAAGAAAAACAGTACATGTACCGACTGTGGAGGGGTGGTGTTCCTTTCCTCCTTGATATGAAGCAGGCACAGGGCTAGTTAATTCTTGGACAGAAACCACGGCAAGCCCAGGGTGCCAAGGAAAGCCGTATGGGTGATTTAATGGATGGCATTCTTCCACTTGAGTCTTCATGACCATGTGTGGCCACCGGGAACAATCGAGTGGGTCTGGCAAATGCAGCTCTCTCACCATGCCCTGGCTAAAGTTCAGAGTGGTAATTACACAGGGCCTCCCTCCAATTCCCTGCAGCTCTGACGAGGTAAGGAAGGCTATATGCTTTATACAAAAGCAGGCCTGTTTTAATGTTTTCTCTGGATTACATAATATCCACCACCCGCCCCCCCCCCCCCCCGTTATTTACTACAGGCATTGTGCTAAATGCTTTGCATGCATGATCTTATCTGGTCCTTACAATAGCTCTTAGAAGTAGATACGGTTGATTCTCATTATTGGCAGCTGCTCTGTTCTATAAAGTTGCAAGAGTGAATGCTGAAGCATCGCCCCTGGAGGAAACCCTGGGGTAGATTCCTGCAAGCCTCTGGTCACAATATTTTCATCAACTCATCAATACATAATCTTGTGCTCTGTATGCTTCTGTCTAAAGACACCTTATTTAATACACATTGTCGATTCGTTAACAGCCAACAGCACTATAATTCATGCCTGAATTAAGCTTAGCTAACACATGTATTTTCTCTGTAAGCTGCAGCCCAGCCTTCTTGTGCTCAGAAACTCAGAAACACCAGACAGCGCTGTGCACGGGGGCCACTGTAAACAGTAAAACCACCAACATAAAGCGCAAAAATGCAAAAATCATGGTACTAAATAGGTCCCGAAAGGGGCCATTTACAACCTGGGCTGGAATAAGGACGCAAAATGGTGCCTTGTTCAAACCCAGCTGGGAATATGTATGGCCAGCACTCAAAGTTTTCACCCCTCGGCGTTGTCTGCAAATGACCCTGAAAGCACCGTGAGTATGGATTTGGGGGTTACGAATGTTACAGATGAATTTCAGCCAGTAAGCAAATTTACAAATAGAGAAGCAACTAATAATGAGGCTCGAATGTCCTTGTATTAATCCCCTTTGCAAATCACGAAAAGGATAGTCAAGGAGCTTTAGCAATTTCATTGCCTCAACCCAATTCTATGAGAACTGATTATGATTCAGGTGTTCCTCTACGGCAGGGTTTCTCAACCCATGCTGTTGATATTTGGGGCCAGAGAATTCTCGGTTCTGGGGGGCCCGTCATGTGCATCGTAAGGTGTGGAGAAGCATCTCTGGTCTGTACCCACTCAATGCCAACATCATCTCCATCCCCCAAAGTCATGAGAACCAAAAATGTTTCCAGACACTACCAAATGTCCCATGAGGGGCAGAATCCCTGCCCCACCGTGAGAACCACTGGTCTAGGGACTGGAGACACAACAACCACAAAGTGCAACGTCTCTGATCTCAAGAAACTTACGTTATGGGAGAATGGCAAACTGGGATGTGGGGCAGGGAGGGGAGTTAGTGTTTCATGGGGACTGAGTTTCAGTTTGGGAAGGTGAAAAAGTTCTGGAGACGGATGGTGGGGATGGTTGCACATTGTGAATGTAATTGATGCCACTGAATTTGACACTTAAAGCGATCAGAAAGTCAAGTTTTATGTTATGTATATTTTAACCACGATTAAACCAGACAAGAGCCAAGCTTGGCTTTCGCAGCGGCTCCTTAGCAGTGGCCACAGCACCACGGACAGCTCCCGTGTGCTCTCATAGGGGAGGCACTGCTGCTTTGTAAATGCCCCTCTGTCCAGAATGCATTTCTCCCGCTTCTTCATCCATCCCACTCCTACCCACTCCTCAGGGCCCGGCTCACATCGTCACTGCCCACCCTCCCCACCGGGAAGTCTTCCCATGCACCCTCCCCCAAGCCACTCTGCTCCAAAGATGTCTCTAAATCAGCCCAGACTCCTTTGCCCATCTGTTTCTCCAAATGGGAGTTCTGCAAAAGCAAAGTCTTTCTTATTCACACACTGGACCCCCGCACCCAGCCACAAAGACTGGCCTGGATTTCCCATTCAATTAACACGAGTGTCTCTTCCCAGAGCTCCACTTCCTCCAGCCAGGAGGCTCTGGGCTCTCCTGCCCTGCTGTGGGGCAACGCCTTTCTGCCTTGGGCTCGGAGGCCCCAGACCCTGATGCAGTGAGTGAAGCAGTGAATGAAGCAGCAACGTGAGCAGAGTGTTGACTGATCTCCGTGAGGGGAGCCAGCGTCCACACATTCCACCTGCATCTCCTGGAGGCCTCCTCTGTGCTGGGTACTGCTGCCCTCTGCAGAGAACATGGCCATGTACAAGGCCAACCGAGTCAGGGGCTCCTGGGTGGCTCAGTCGGCGAAGCATCTGCCTTCGGATCAGGTCATGATCCCGGGGTACTGGGATCGAGCCCCCATCGGACTCCCTGCTCACCGGGGAGGCTGCTTCTCCCTCTCTCTGCCCTTCCCCCCACTCATGCTCTCTCTCTCTCTCTCTCTCTCTCTCTCTCTTTCTCTCTTTCTCTCAAATAAATAAATAAAATCTTTAAAAAAAAAAGACCAACCAAGTCTCTTTTATCTTGACTTTTATGGTCTAGCAAAGGGGTCAGAGAATAAACGAAGAAACAAGTAAATAATTTTAAATAGTGGCAAGTGCTGTGGTGGGGGGGGGGAATCAAGCTCCTCAGTAAGTGAAACACAAACCTACTGTATGTCCCGGTAATTCCGTTCCCAGGCGTGTACCCAAGGGAACGGAAAACAGGGACCCAGATAAGTCTCTGCACAGCCACGTTCACAGCAGCACTATCCACAATAGCCAAAGAGTGTCAACGGCCCCAACGTCCATCCACTGGTGAACGGGCAAACAAAAATGTGGCTAATGCATACAGTGGAATACACTGTTCAGCCATCAAAAGGAACAGAGCACTGAAGCTGCAGTGTGGATGATCCTTGAAAAATTATGCTCTACCAAAGAGGCCAGACAAAAAAATGACATAGTGTAGGACTCCATTTATATGAAATGTCCAGAACAGGCAAATTCACAGAGATAGAAAGTGGATTAGAGGTTGTCAGGGTTTGGGGCTGTGGGATGGGGAGTTAGTTGAATAGGGACAGAGTTTCAGTTTGGGAAGATGAAAAAGTTCTGGAAATAGATAGTGGGGATGGTTGCGTGGCCATGGGCGTGTGCTCAATGTCACTGAGCTGTACACTTTCCAATGGTTAAAATGGTAAGTTTTATGTTTTGAGTATTTTACCACAATTTTAAAATGTATATACTAAAAAAAAAAAAATCGGACTGGGCAATGGAATGGGGTGGTGGAGGTGGGGGGTAAGGGAGGGATGGTTGGGGAAGGCCTCTCTGAGGAGATTACTTCTGAGCTGACACCTGAATAATGTAAACATCTGCTGGAAGAGCGTTCCTGGCAGTGGGAACAGCATATTCCAAGGCCCTGTGGTGGGGATGAACTTGATGTGTTCGCAGAACAAGTGAAACACCACCGCATCAACAAAGCAATAGGCATCGGTTCCTACTTGGGGCCATTCGTTCATTTCCTGCGGCTGCTGTAACAAAGTACCACAAACCAGATGGCTCAAAACAAGAGAAATCTATTATCTCCCAGTTCTGGAGGCCAGAAGTCAAAACTCAAGGTACTGACAGAGTTGGTTCCTTCTGGTGGCTGTGAGGGAGAACCCATTCTATGCCTGTCCAGCTTCTGGTGGTTGCTGGTGATCCTTGGCATTCCTTGGTTTGCAGATGTAAAAACACTTGTGGTTGGATTTGAGATTCACCGTAAATCCAGGGGATCTCACCTAGAGATGAGAGTACCGGATTCCTAATTCCACCTGCAAAGACCCTTTTTCCAAATAAGGTCATATTCACAAGTTCGGGGAGGTTAGGACATGGCCATGTCCTAAAAATAGACACAGCAACAGCAAGAAACAGGTATAGAAGCTTTCTCGGGCACCGTGCTAAGTCCTCTCCTACATGATCTCATTAAACGCCCAAACGCCAGTACCGTGTTTCTATTTCACAGATGGGGAAACTGAGGCCCAGCAGGTAAGATCACTTACCCCGTGGTGTGTCCCAGCTAGTTAGCCTCCCAGCCAGGGTTCGAACCTCCTTCTGATCTGATTTCAGAGGCTGCACTCTTTATGGGGTCCTGAAGTCCTCCAGGGCAGGGCCGCTGCGGCGCACAACTGCAGGCGGCGCCTTTCCCTCCGTGGCCCCCAGAGCAAGTGTGTCCCGGAAGACTCTGCCTCCCCAGCACGCAGCCGGGTCCTCGGCACACTCGACTCGGTCCACAGTGAGCGGCCAGCTGAGGGACCCAAGGAATGGGGTCCTAAGGATATTTCCCCTCCCTCCCTCCCTCCTAATCTAAGGAATGAGGCCATCGCCTTATTTATTTATTTGTTTGTTTTTTCCTTGTTTTGTTTTTTAAACCTGTGATGCGCCATCAGAAAATCATTTCCGCTTCTGCCTCTGGTGAGGCTCTTGGAAATACTCCCCTTTCAGCCAATCGAGAGCACCGGATTCTGGCAGGGGGCTGTGCTTTTTGGTCAGCCCTGCCCCCACCCACCCACCCTGCACACAAAAGCAGCATAATTAACTGTCTGAAGGCAGCCGAGCCTCCGCCAGCAGCGAGCTGGCGAGAAGACACCTCGGAGGCACGGGCTGCGACCGTGGCAGGGGCCGGGAGCGCAGCCCGCCGAGGGGCAGCCGGCCGCTAACTGCAGCGGTCCCCCAGCTCTGGACAAAAGCACCCATCCGCGCCGCCACATTGCTCTGGGTGACCTTCGCTGGGTGCAGAGTCCGCCCCTGCGCGCGTCCTCCTCCGATGCTCTGAAGGCCCAGGGGCTGCGCTCCGAAGCCGAGGGATGTCCGGCTGCATCCGCGCGGGGCTCGCCTTTGTTTGCGCGTAACGGGCAGAGGCCGCCGAGGTGAGTGCACCCGCCTTTCTCGCAGCCCTGCCCCGCAAGATCTGTCCGGAGACATCCGCTGCCGCAAAGCCCCGTCCGGCAGGTGGGGCGGGTGGGAGCAGGGAACCACGGTCTTGTGATTCCCGGGATGACAACACAGCCATGTCTCCCGATGCCGAGGAAAACCTTCCGCAGGCATGCACGCCCACAGTTCACCTTCCGTGCCCACCGTTCACCTGGAAGGCAGAGGACTGCACCATTTTCAGGACATGCTTAGAGATTAGGCTGATAAAACCCTCAGCCTCTCTCTGGGACGCTTCCTAAGAGACCGAAATGTACACGTCCCATCTCTGTGCATTTCCTATTTATAACGCCGTGAGCGGATTTGGGAGGAAAAAAAAAAAAAAAGACTTGATAGATGTGTACATCGAGGCTTGCCTGTGGGGTGGGGAGGAAGGGAGAAGGTTGAAGACTGATTCCTTCTTCTCTGAATTGGAACGTGATATGCTGGTAACTCAGCCGGCACGGCGCCAAAGCTCACCGCCTCATTCTCCATACCCTCAAACGTGAAGCCGGGATCTTAGAACAGGCGTGTACAGGGCCCACGGGGGACCCACCCACACCCCACATTTAGAGGATTGTGGGGCCAGCAAGTGTGACCCCGGAGTCGCAGCTGTGGGTGGGATTGGGGGGCGTGCTTCCTGGGCGCTGAGGTCACACCCAGCTCGACGCAGAGACCTCTTCCCCCGCCCCCGACCCCCGCCCCGCGAAAGGAAATTCATTTCCATTGATCTGAACTTTCCCTTGCCGTAAGGTTTTGGGTGGTGGTTGTTGCCCCAGGCAACAGGAAGAGTTTTTTTGGGTTTTTTGTTGTTGTTGTTGGGTTTTTGTTTTTTTTTTTTGGCGTACTGCGTCTTACTGTCCCTCCTCCATGAATGGATGACGACATTCAGAACAGTGACAAGGATGCAGTGGGAAACTCTCACCCAAGCGTGTGGGGGGGGCGGGGGGAGGGTGTCTAATTTTAGCTACCCCTCCCCCACTGCCTGGCCTTCACCTGGCCCAGGCTCCCTCGGGCTCCTCCCTCTCCGAGCCACAACCTCAAATGCAGACCCCTCCCACAGGGGCTGCTGTCCACACCCAAACCCTTAGCCTTGCAGGCTCTACAGAGGGGCAGCCTCGGCATCAGGAAGGGTGGGGGGCTGGGGACGGGGGAGAGGGAGGGAGGGAGGCTCAGGTGCTGGCATGTGAGAATAACTACCCAGGAGCTACTTGGAGGGTGGGCTGCAAGGACACAGCGAGGCCTCTATAATGACTGTCAAACCCCGCCCAAGTTCCCTGCACAAGTGTGCAATTAAGACAGGATTTCTCAAGCTCAGATCTATGGACATTTGGGGCTGGATCATTTTTGGTCCTGGGGGCCACCTTGAGCACCCTGCCGTGTTGAGCAGCATCCCTAACCTCCATCCACTTGATGCCAGTAGCACCCTCCCCAAACTGTGACGACCAAAAATGCCTCTAAACATTGCCAAGTGTCTCCTGGGGGGAGGGGGGAGGGGGGAGGGGGGAGGGCAAAATTATCCCCACTTGAAAGCCACTGGTTTAAAAGCTTAGAGCCCATTGTGTTGACTAAGTTATAAGACCCTGGAATCTTATGTCCAAAAGGTATTATATAAAGATCATTTCTAGTCCAACTTTTTAGTTTGCAGATGGAGATAGTGAAGCTGGGAGGGGTGAGTGGGGGAGTCTCCCGTGCCTCAGGGTAGACCCCAATTCAGTCTCATTCCGCAGTTCCTGCTGCTCCCAGACAGCCCAGCTCCTAAACCACCATTTAGGGTGCTGCCCGCCACCCCCATCCTGCCCCCAGCTCCTCAGAAAAATAAAAAACAAAACTGTGTTTTGTGCTTAGTAAGAATTACGACCCCAACTTCCAGCCCCAGTCTCTTTCCACACTGCCTCCATTAGCCCTGGGGTAAGCAGGTTGTCAGGACTTGCTGCTTTATCAGGGGATAAAGGGGCGGGGCAGGTAGCCTGGAGAAAGTAGAGGGGGGTTGAGGTGGACCAGGTCCTATTTGAAAGTGTCAGTCCCAGGCGGGTGGCTTACTCGGTTAAGTGTCTGCCTTCTGCTCAGGTCATGAATCCGGAGTCCCGGGATCAAGTCCTGCACTGGGCTCCCTGTCAGCTGGGCGTCTGCTTCTCCCTCTGCCCCTCACCCCACTTGTGCTCGCTCTCTCTCTCTCTCAACTAAATAAAATTTTTAAAAAATCTTTGGGAAAAAAAAAAAAGTGTCAGTCCCAGCAAGGAAGCTTTAGTATAAATGAGTTTAATCGGCCTTATTGCTTCCCAGGTAACTCCAACGTAAGGGCGCGATGATGAGCCCTAAGGAGAATAGACTTCAGAACTTCAAACCGGGGGGGGGGGGGGGGGGCCTGCTGACTCAGCGCCTCCCCTGGGTTCAAATTCCAGACCCACGTGGGTGTCATCAGCTCTGTACACCTCTGTTTTCTCACCTGTGACATGGGGAAACCTCACGGGGCTGGTCCCTGGTTCAGTTTAACGAAGGATGCGACACTCTTTGCATATTGATCTGAAGGGCCACACATGGGCGGGGGGCTGTTATTGCGATAACTGTCCGGTAAAACCTCCATTTGGTCCGCCTTCAGGATTCATCTCTGCTTCAAGCCAGCACCTCTCCTTGGTTCTCATGGGGACCACTGAAGCCACGCTCCGGATGGAAAATGTGGATGTGAAGGAAGAAGGGCAGGACGAAGCTCTTCCCAGGTATGGCTTCTCTGTTTCCACATCACCCGTCGCGTTGCGCGGGGGGTGCCCGCTGCCCCTCTGAGCTGTGGTGTGGGGCACGCTGAGGACGGGTGGGACCAGGCACATAATAAATATTTGCTGACTTTTTTAAGATTGATCCCCCACCCCCGCTCCCACCAAAGCGCCGCAAATGCTCCATTCCCACGCTGTTTTAAGAGTTGTGAACATTCACCTACAACCACCTCGTGGACTGTTACATTCTTACGGGTGTTCCCACGAATCCGGGTGAGAGCACATTCTTCCCCATGGCAGCCACAGGGATCTTGTCTTACTCCCGCCTAAAACTCCTGGGGCACATGCCCACCCCAAGGAAAATCCGGTGTTCAGCCTCCCCTCCTTCTTCAACCTCTCTCCCACCACATCCCTGTCACGTCCCTCCAGTTCTAGAAGCTTCCTTCCCATTCCTTCCCCAGGCCCGGCCGGCGCTGACTATCAGACTTCGCACCGGCTGCTCCCTCTGCCTGGAATGCCCTTCCCAGACACCCAGGCTTCCCTCGCTTCCTTCGGGTCTCTGCCCACAAGCCTGCCTCTCAGAGAGGGCCTCTTGGCCACACTCATTACCCCTTCCCTCAGTCCCTGAATTGTTTCTTCCTGAACAGCGGCCCCCAAAGACGTCCACATCCGAATTCCGGTCCCCTGCCAATGTCCCCCTCCACGGCAAAGCCGCTCTGCAAATGTGATGAAGCTAAGGACCTCACAGTGGGGAGATGACCCTGAGTTATCCAGATGGGGCCCCCGTGTCACCGAAAGGGTCCTTCCCGAAGTTCGAAGGGAGGATCTGTTTCTATCCCTCTCCCAGATTCTCCCTTAGAGCTTCCAGAAGGAACCGGCTCTGCCCACACCTTGCCTTCAGCCCCATGAAACCGATTTTGGACTCACTTCTGGCCTCCAGAATTGTAAGAGAATAAATATGTGCTGTTTTAAGCCACTGTGTGGTGATTTGTTACAGTAGCCATGGGAGACTCTGCTATGAGTCTAATACTCTGAATGTTTCACATATTTATCTTGTATATCGTCTGTTTTCTCCACCAAATGGACCCCCGCCCACCACAGTAGGGGCCTTTGGTTGGATCACTGTTGTATGGCAGCATGAGGACAGACCCCGGCATACAGTCGGCGCTCAATAGCTGTTGGGTGAGTGGGTGACGGTCACTGGTAGGAGTAAGAAACCATGTAGGAGGGAAGCAGAGACACATGCACCCCCAGGCCTCGTGTCCCTCTGGGAGGTGTGGGGTAATGTGGTCGGCACAGGCTCCCCTAATCCGATGGCTGGACACACTGACCATCTCCGCCCTTCTTTAAGGCAAGCAGTTTACCCCAAGGGATGATGCCCAAGAGCTCTTTATAAAACCGTCTGGGAAGGACTAGTGTGTGCCGAAGGGAAGTGTGTGCTCACCCTGGAAAAGAGAGGGTCTCCAGCTCCAGAAAATCCCAGCCCCTGAGGGGCCGAAGTCTTCCTCATGCCTCAGTTTCCCTGTCTGTGAAGTGGGGATGTTAATCCCTCGCTCACAGAGTTGTTGGAGGAACCGGCTGAGGCCCTCAGGATGAAGCGGCTGGGGTGGGCTCGCCACAGGACACCCGCTGCCCAAACGCACGGTCCCCCTCAGATTGCTCTTCTTAGCCGCGTCTTGTTCACTCCAGCCCCCTGCCCCCGCATCCATCGCTTAGATGATAGCCCCTCTCCCAAGCCTTGTTGAGACAAAATGGGGCAGCTGCAGATGCGAATTTTAAGTGAGTTTCTCCCAGCTGCAGAGGGTCCCTCTCCGTGCTCAGTGGGCCAGTGTCTGCGGCACAGTGGCCCCGCTGTGCGGCCCTGGGGCGGGAGCCAGCCCTTTGCCGGGGCGTCTGCCTTCCTCGCTCTGCAAGAAGGGAGGGCAGCTCCGCACCTCTGTCTAGTGCCAGACAACCCACAGTTCTGTTCCTTCCAGCTCAGTGATCCCTTCCCGGGGGCGTCTTCCAGCTCCCCTGGGGTGCCAGGGGGCTGGCCCGGTGCCCACAGCGCCTCCTGCCCCCACGACCTTGTACCATCTTCCTTCACCTCTGCCCCAGAGGGCAGCCTGGAGATGATGTAGCTCACTGCCTTATTTCTCCATTCATTCTCTGTAAGGCTATGCACCCACTGTATGCCAGGCCCCAAGCAAGACACTGGGGACACACGGCAAACAGGACAGACACCCTCGTGGGGCATTCAGTCTGGGGCAGAGAGAGACTTTTCCCTTATAAACTTCACAACCCAATATAAAACTGAAGCTGGGTTCGTGGTACCAGGGAGAGTGCCTGGGTGGGGTCTGACCCGGGTGGAGAGACTGGAGAGGTTGGGGAGGGTGCTGTTCCTAAGCTGTGAAGGATGAAGAAAGCTAGGGGTAGGGGCTGAGCATTCGAAGCTCAGAGAGCAGTGTGTGCAAAGGCCCTGAGGCCAGTGGGAGCAGACCGAGGGATGTAAGGAAAGCTGAGGGGGCATCTTGGCCAGTGTCTCATAGTTAAGGAGAGGCAAGTACAGGGTTAGACAGATGTCTGACTGGTGCCTCAGCCTGCCCTTCCCTCCACAAGCAAGCGGCCGTGGGTTTTGTTTGTAACTTTTTATTCCGATGTAGTTCCAAACTTAGAAAAAAAATTACAAGAATGGTATAAGGCATATCTGTAAACTTTTCCCCAGATTTGCCAATTAACATTTCACTCCCTTTGCTTTGTCATTCCCTCCCCCATCTCTCCCTCCCTCCTGTGTCTCTCCCCTCTCTGTGTCTCTCTGTCTCTGCCTTCCTCCTCTGTCTCTCTCTGCCCCTCCCCCTATATATATATATGTGTGTATATATATATACACATATATATATATACACACACACACACACACACACATATATATATAGACTCAGTTCCCGTTTGTATCTCTCCATCCCTGCACAGGGCACGCCAGTGCGGTCTCTCCCCTGAACACACGCACATGAGCTGATTTTGTGTGGCACACACCTCAACAGTCCCCAAAAACGTGTGCGGCCGCGGTGGGTTCAGGGCACAAAGTGGTGGAGGGCTCTGAGCAGCCTAAGCATCGCTGCCCCTCCTCAGCTCTGCCCTTCTCCGTCCTGTGCTCTAGGCGTGCCGGCTCCTCTCTTCTGGTCTCCTCCTCCTCTGTCCCAGTCTGCTTGGGCTGCCAAAACGGGATTCCACCGACACTTATGCTCTCACCATCCTAGAGGCTGGCAAGTCAGGTCAGGGGCCCGGCAGGGCTGGGCTCGGTGAAGGCTCTCTCCCAGGCTTGTAGACGGCTACCCTCTGGCTGTGGCCTTTCCTCCATGCTTATGTGCACAGAGATCACTCCTGTCTCTCTTTCTTACAAAGCACAGCCCTATGGGATCAAGGCCTTCTTATGACCTCATTTAACCTTTATTGCTTCTTAAAGGCCCATCTCCAAATCATATTGGAGGTTGGTCCTTCAATATATGAATGTGCGGGGGGGACACCATTCAGTCTGTAACATCCTCTTTGCAAAGATCTGACTGCTGGGAGTGGAGTTGGGGCGGGGGGGCGGAGCTGTGGTGCCACCCGGGGCCTTGGGACCCTCCCCGGGGCTGTGGTGCTGGGGGAATCAGAGGCGGGCGAGGGGACAGAGGTGTCGGACATTGCAGAGAAGGCACAACAACACATCTGTCTGGGCATCTAAAAACCACCAAAGTGGACAAGAAAGAACGGTTTAGGCCTCTCTGGATCTCTTGGCTGGGCTTTGGGGGTGTCATACTGCAAAGCCCCAGCACTGCTGGCCCAGGCTCGAGCCTTGGAAAAGCCTCCCTCTACCCAGAAAGAGATTGTGTGGTTGCGTGCACCAGAAGCGGCCTTGGGCAGGCAGAGACAGAGACTGGCCAGCCCCGGAGGGGAGACTGAGGCAGCAGCGCCCAAGTTTGATACCCTCGAAGTCCTGAAGCACAGGCTTGGCGGGGGTGGGGGGGGTGGGGGTGGAGCATGGTCAAAGTTCATTCCCAATCCCCTTGTCTCACACCATGGGAAACTGAAGCCAGAGGCTGGAACGTGAGGGTAGACTTGGAGCCAGGAGCCCCCCGTTAGGCCAGCACTGTTGCAGCCGCAGAGCCGCTCCAGATCAACAGATGCTCCCACTGGTGCTCCCCACCACTCTCGGGATGCACCTTCACTCAGTCTGTCTGTCCTTCTACCAGCCACTTCTCTGGGGGCCAGGCCCATGACTCACCAAAGCAAGATAGGAAGAGGCACGTCCTAGCAGGAAGCAAGCAGTTAGAGAAAGCAGGAAGCAGCACTCAAGACAGAGGGCTGAGATGTGCAAAGGCACTGGGGCAAAGGGGGCCTTGGGACGGTAGGGAACATAGCCAGCAGAAATGGGGCTGAAGGGCTCCCAGACGCCACGTCCTAGAGGGGTGCCCAGGTGAGAGATCTGGATTCCACACTGCGCGCTGCACGAGACAACACAGATGTATTCTTGCACAGTTCTGGAGGCTAGAAGTCCAAAATCGAGGCGTCAGCAGGGCCCTGCTCCCTCTAAAGGAGACACTCCTTCCCTCCTCTCCCAGCTTCCGGGGCGGCCCGCAGTCCCGGGCGTTCCCTGGCTTGGGGACACGTCCCTGCAGTCTCTGCCTCATCCTCACGTGGCTCCACCCCTGTGTCTGCATCCCCATTCCCTTGTTCTCATCCCCACGCCGCTCATTGGATTTAGGGCCCCGTTAATCCAGGATGGCCTCTTGTACCTTAATTACATCTGCAGTGGCCTTATTTCCAATAGGTCACGGTCCAAGTACTGGGAGCTAGGACTTGAGTTATCTTTTGGGGGCACAGACTTCAACCCGCACGGAAAGATGAAGCCACGCCGGGCGCCTCGCATATAAAGGAAAGCCCACTTCTCACGGGGCTTGCCCGTTGCAGGCCGAGCAAGCCTGCAGGGAGCCCTCCGGATCTACTCTTGAGTTTAGGGACAGGCTTCAGCTCCGCACAGTATG